AAACTTGATCATGGGGCTGCTGATCACGTCTTCAAGCCTCACCCGAACTGTTTTGCTCCCCTAGTGACTCACTTAAGCTTTGCTGATGACCTTCTTTTTTTTATGGTGCTGAAGATTCTCTGAACGGTATTTTGTCAATTTTGGATGATTTCAAAAAGATTTCAAGTCTTGGCAAGAACAAAGAGAAATCGTTTCTTTTCTTGGATGGTGGAAACTTTCAGCCATCCCGCGAAATCTGTGAGAGACATGGGTTGTCCCAAGGGTCATTTCCGGTGAGATACCTCGGTGTGCTTTTAAATACAAAAAAAAATGACTAAGCATGATTACCAACCTCTTGTAGAAAAGATCCCCAAACAATTCTCTTATTGGACAGTTAGGCATCTGTCTTTCGCGGAGAGACTTGAAATCATTCAGTCGGTAATTTACTCAAAAATGAACTTATGGGCTTCTATCTTTATCTTGTTGAACCATTGCATAGCTACTCTTGAGCAAATGTGCAACGCCTTCTTATGGAAAGGGGTTCCAAATTATGCAATAGGTGCTAAAATAGCTTGGGAATCGGTTTGTACATCAAAAAAATCTGGAGGACTTGGTTTGAGAAGATTGCTTGATTGGAACAAAGTAATAGGTTTAAAGCTGATTTGGTTGATCTTCACTTCTTCAGGCTCCTTATGGGTTTCATGGGTTCGTCCCAACCTGATTAAAGATGGTAACTTATGGGATATGGAAAGTGCATCGGGTAGTTGGATTTGGAAACAACTCCTTAAGCTTAGACACTTGGCTCGACCGTTTATAATATGTGAGATTGGCTCGGGAATTACATCAAGCTTTTGGCAGGATAATTGGACCTCTTTAGGTCCTCTTATTGATATTACAGGTAGATCTGGTCCTTCTCGTTCTGGTTTACCCATTGATGCAGTGGTCTCTGATGCAATTAGAAATGGTAGATGGTGGATTGATGGAACAAGGAGTAGAAACTCGATCATCTCTTTGCTCCGTCAATGCCTTCCACCTCCTACCCCTATTGCTCAATCAGACTTTGATGACTATTACAAATGGAAAATTAATCAAGCAAGCATCCCAAAACTGTTCTCCCTTAGAAACTTCGAAAGCACTTCACCCTAGTGGACAATCTGCTAATTGCTTTAAAGCGGTTTGGTTCAAAGGACGAATTCCTAAACATTCGTTTCTTTGTTGGGTCACCCAGTGTCGTGCCAAGGTTTCTAGGGACTCAAGGCGAATTGAAAAATGGGTCTCTTTTTTAACGGTTGTTATAAACTATATTTTTTCAAAAAACGGTTAAATAGAATCTAAACCAAAAAAAAATATTAAAACGTTAACAATAAAAGAAATCTATGACAATTTTGTTATATTTCTATGAACTTTTTGACCAAACTCTCATAAACAGTTTATTGAACTAATTTTCTTTCTATATATATGATTACTATTGGAAATTGGGGGTCCCAAAATTTATATATTATTTGGGGGCCCGAGGCGAATGCCTTTTTGTTAACACTATAGGCACGGCCTTGGGGTCACCGCAAGAAATCGAATGCACACAAGAGACAAGCTTAGGAGTTGGGGACTCTATGTTTCTCCGCGTTGCCTCTTGTGATGTCCAAGATGAGACTAGACAACATATATTCTTCATATGCCCCTACAGCCATGAAATCTTGTCTGCTTTCTACTCAGCAGCCAATTACTCTCCTCCGTTAGATTTTGATCAGTGCCTACTTTGGCTCATCTCACCTACGCGCGCGAGATGCCAATACCAACATAATCATAAAATTAACATTCCAAGCCTCTTTACACGGGATTTGGAGGGAGCAGAATGCTAGGCTTCACTCATCAATCTCCACTCCATCAGCGGTCATTATCAAAGGGATCAAGCAAACAATCCGCTGCATATTAGATCCGCTTACTTGAGCTCAACTCAACAACAACTTTACTAACTACTTGGTTTTCTCTCTTTTAGGATATTAGGGAGTTGGAAAGCAATTTATAAGTTTCTCCTTCATTTTTTGGTATGCATATCGACTCAGTCTCGACCTGAAGGGATTGATTGCATTTTTTTAGTTAATCTAATGGAAATTTAAAATTTAAAAAAAAAAAGAAAAAGAAAGAGTTACTTGTGTGTACATTTGCAGAAGAGCCACTAGGAGTTGTCTATTTGCAAAAATACCACTAATTATATATTTTTAGAGTCTAAATCTTAAAATTCTAAACCCTAAAAAATGTTTTGACTCCTAAAAACTCCTAAACCCTCAA